GCGTTTTTTACGGCGTCTGCTATCAGGACGGCGTATTTGACGGCGCTAATATTGTTTAAAACGCCGTCAAATACGGCGTTTTGTATGTAAACGAGATTTATCTATAGCGCAAATGTGAACCTCTTGGCTTGCCATACTATTACAATTGAAGCGCTGCGAGAACAGTACCGTTTCCGCGCTCATTTGACTCGCGCCTGGCGCTGAAGTGAAGTTGGAGTGCACATCTGAAACGTCTCCGGTTTGATGTGATCGTAAAGATTAATTATTATTAATATTTATTATATTTATATATTAATAATTATTAATATAATATATATTTATTTATCATATAATATGCATTTGCATATTATGCATGTAAATATGTATACAATGTAGGCTACATAATTTTACTAGTATAAAATCAAATCTTTTGCTGAATCTGGTACTTTATAAAAGCTAAATTAGATTTACATTCACATTACTTCTGAAACAATATACCAAATGACTAAATAATTATGAGCATCTTACCTATTTGCGTTGTTGTCTATGGTAAAGCAACCTATTATCCATGTTAGCACTAGTATTAACTCCAGATGTCCCATGTCTGGATTAATGGATTGTGTTAGGTTCACTTAGACAGAAGCAAGAAAGCTGTTTGAGTTTATAAAGGGTCGGTTGATGCATGGACAGTGAGGCAGGGCATGAGAAGGTGTGTGTCAGTTTTTATCACTTTCATGAATATTATTTTACATAGCTTATTGTAAAACCGGTTTAGTGAATCAGTAACTGTTCGTGATAGGACCAGGGTGTGTTCCCCCTGTTCTCTAAATGCTGTAACATTTATCAGAAGATGCAGTGAAATTCAGCCCACACAGTACATAGACCTTTGAATTGACCTCTTAAATCAGGAATCCCCATATAGTTTATCATCCTTTTTTTTACTAGTCTGAATAGTACCAGGAATCCATTGCTGACGTGGTTAAAATCCAAATTCAAAATATTGAAAGTACAGGACAAAAAAAATATATTTTTATAGAATTAGCAGTTCATAATTTCAATGGATTCTTAAGTTTCAAAGGAGGCCAGACCAGTCAGAAGTCATCCTGGGAAATTAATATTGAGCTTTTTTTATTTGTAGGTATCTTAATTATGTTGTTGAGTATCTTGTAAAAATTAATATAAAATAAATGCATAAAGAAGTTTAGTTTTTCGGTAACACTTTAAGGTTCCATTAGTTCATGTATTAACTAACATGAACAAACAATGAACAATACATTTATTACAGTATTTATTAATCTTTGTTAATGTTAGTTAATGAAAATACAGTTGTTCATTGTTAGTTCATGTTAGTTCACAGTGCATTAACTAATGTTAACGAGCAAAACTTGATTTTAATAATACATTAGTATGAAATTAACATTAACTAAGATTAATAAATGCTGTAGAAGTATTGTTCATGCTTAGTTCATGTTAACTAAAGTAGTTAACTAATGTTAACTAATGAACCTTATTGTAAAGTGTTACCAGTTTTTCATTAGTGTATGACACAAAAGATTTTTCAGTTTTCCAGTTACAGAAGCAAGTTAGCAATATCCAAAAAAACATATTTTTTCACTGAGGTAATGATTCTTATGAGGAAAATGAATCAACTATTACTTCTGATGTGAAATTATATTTTGTCTTGTGACCAGAACTGATGGAAATCAGTCCTGTGTAACTGAGATTCCACCCTGTTTTCTGATAATGCATGTATGTTTATGATGCCTGTAAAAAGAGGCTCTCTGTGTATGATGTTCCAAATCAGGTCCAGCCCAGAAGTGTGAACCACTAAAGCTAGATGAGTAGAGGTCAGCCCCTTCTTAAATTATTCTAAGGTATTTGGCCCAAGCTACATTTACAATAAAAAAAATATTTATAAAAAAAATGTTTTCTTCACATACTGTACTTCAATGGATCATTTGAATATCAGATACATAAGAACTGTATACCTTGATTAGTATACCATAAACACACATCAAGTTATATAATGTTTAACGGATCTGAATGTGCATACTGATCTGTTAAGTATTTTATTATGTTTACTAATGGCTTTATTGTAAAGTGTTAGTGAATCATCTGAATACGTGATGTAGTCTCCCGATGAAAATTAGCAGTTTTGTCATTTCTGAATGAAACCTTCAGCTGTTAAATATAGAACTGTTTGTTTAAAAAAGCTTGAATTAATAAGGGGATTTAATTTGGCTTAAAGGGGTCATAGGATGCCCATTTTCCACAAGTTGATATGATTCTTTAGGGTCTTAATGAAAAGTCTGTAACATAGTTTGGTTAAAATTTCTCAATCGTAGTGTAAAAAACACCTTTTTTACCCTGTCAAAAACAGCTCTTTTCAGATCAAGC